AATAGGTGGCACTCGGTTTGTTTCAAAGTCCTGAAACGTGCTGGTATCTTTTATTTTAAAGCAGCAGTGAGACCATACCACTGCTTTATAAGTGGGGCCCTCAATATTTGACATTCAAATTGACTGTAACACATGCATGCAAATGTGCCAAGAAGGAACATGCTGATAGGAGGAGGAAGCTCATTGCTCAAGTTTTCCACTGATCAGAGGAAGTAGTATTATCTTTCTGGCTGTGAAGCAGGATTGGGTATATCTCAGTACTGGATAGACCTAAATAAAAATCCTTTAGCAATTTAGACAATTTCCATACATGTATTTTATCTGTGTCTCTAGCTATTTGCCTGAAGTTCCGTTTTATTTCATAATTGTAAGAGGCATCATCTTTTTTTTTTATGTGGAAACCATAAACATAATGCCGGTGAATAATGTTATTTTAGAAAATCAGAATGGAAATCATTCACACCATAGTAAAGGATAATGGACCATAATTATCAGAACCAACATGGGTTTGATTCACCAGAGCGGCCTGTCTGCATCTTCTTTATTTGCATCCAAAAAACTCCTGAATGTGGGTCTAAATACAGGTGAAACTCGAATAATTAGAATATCGTGCAAAGTTCATTTATTTCACTAATGCAACTTAAAAGGTGAAACTAATATATGAGATAGACTCATTACATGCAAAGCAAGACAGTTCAAGCCGTGATTTGTCATAATTGTGATGATTATGGCTTCCAGCTCATGAAAACCCCAAGAACACGAAATCCACAACCTCAAAAGAGTAGAATATTACATGCAATCAATAAAACAAGGATTGTACTTAGAACAATATCAGACCTCTGAAAAGTACAAGCATGCATATGTACTCAGTACTTGGTTTGGGCCCCTTTTGCAGCACTTACTGCAATTACTTTTGCACGATATTCTAATTATTCGAGTTTCACCTGTACATAAGGCTGCTCCAAGCTTTCAGGTCTGTCATGCCCCATGTCCTCATTTCTGATATAGTCCTGAGTCTTTTAAACCAACACTGAAGCTCACATTGTGGTGGAGGTATAGCAGGGATCTGGAGGTTGAACTTTGCCAGTTGAGTGCTCGGTGTTTGGAGCTCCCAAGGTGCTCATCAAAGTAAGCAAAAGTATATACAAGTACTTTGCAAGGCCTCCCTTTAACTGAAGTTTAATCTTAGGCATGCACCAATACCGGTTTTTCGGTATGGAGTACCGATATTTTTTTTGGCACTTGCAGATACCGTGTGCCCTTATTATCAGGAAGCTGGGCAGCGGGTTATGATCCCGATTGTCTGCGAAGCCGGTGTTCTATTGAAAGAATACCGGCTTCATTTACTGAGGCTGCCTGACCAATCAGGAAGCTGGCTGGTGGGTCATGAGGTGCCGTCCAGCTTCCTGATTGGTCAGGAAGCCAGGCTGCCTAGCAACAAGTGAAGCCGGCTTCCTAGCCATTCAGGAAGCCGGGATGGCGTGTCATAACCCACTGCCCGGCTTCCTGATTGGAAAGAAAGCTGGCTCCATGCTCCCTCGGCACTGCCAGTCAGAGGGAGATCTCCCTTTGGCTGGAAGTTCCGTTATTTGGGGGTATCGAAGTATTTGGGCGAGTAAGAGTACTCGCCCAAATACTCGGTATCGGCACTGACACTAGCATCTGTATCAGTGCATTCCTATTTAATCTGCTTATATTTTACCTTCCCTGGTTCCTCCTCACCCACCCCCATCAACATGTTAATGACATTTTAATAACACCTTTCCATTTTCGTTACATACCTTATTTTAGACCCAGTCACGTATCTCTGCTTTCCTATACAATGCAGGCAGATTATGGCTGGTAAAAAGAGCCAGAAGGGTATTTTACATAACTGCCTGAAAGCAAGAAACACAGCCCCCTGCCACAGTACTTCTCTTAAGAACCCTCAGCCCTGATTCAAGTAGAGGGCTGGCTTTTGAGAGGAGTTATGCAAATATCAAAATGTGTTGATAGGTGGATGTCAGTCTGGAGGAGTACAGTCAACGCATTTCCCTCCCGTGATGGACTACATGCATCTCCATGCAAATTAGTAAACTAAACATGAGATTGTAGTCCATCACGGGAGCAATCTTGGGGCGGTGACTCCTTTACAACACACACAGGGACAATGGGGAACAAAAGTAGCCCCCCTCCAGAAGGAAGGACAGTGTCAGCTGTAGATCAAATCATCTCTGAACTGGTGCTGAGTGATACACAAATAAGATACATTTTTGTTAAGGGACTTGAATGTATTTTTAAGATTTAACTGTGCACGACTTAAAGGAGAACTATGGGGTCAGGGCTTT